CAAATAAAAATCTAAATAAAATTGAAAGCAGAATATTGGTTGGAAAAAAAACAGTTTTGATTTTTGGCACAATCCTTCAGCCCTTCATCAGATGGGTTTAGCATAAATTAATTTTAGTGTTATAACCATGTTTAGCTATTGACATTTTGTCATATTTCAAGGCATTTTAAAGCAATACTCGAATTTCCCCTCCTAGAGAATATTGTTTGCATTCTTGTGCTTAACAATTTATGGTCAGTAATTATGACTGTGGCGTTGAGTGCTTGCCTCAGACTATTGACTGGCTGAAGGGGCGTTTCATTAGTGCTCCATGTCCTTTCACCTTTCTTTGTCTCTCATTTCTCCGTAATGCCAACATGGGCGCCTGATGCTTCAACCTTATGGCAGTACTAAGTGCTTTAATTGAAATTTATTGATCATAGAGCTTATGCCATTGCTGCTACCTTGATATTCGTAAATTGAGAGGACAATAGGCTGTCTTCCATTTGCCCTCGTTTAAAAGTTTTTCCGTGCACTCAAGTCCGATCCAGACTTTTTAGAGAGAAAGGATGAAAAACAAATGCAAATCACAAACTTTCCAAATAATTGAATTAGTGCAAAATCATGGTTTACTTTGAGTCTTTGAAAAATAGGTCTCAAGGAACACCACATCAAACAACACATTATAAATAAGCCAATAATTCTCACATAGTAATCCTACTAATCTCAGCCAAAAAGGTGAAGCAGCTGATTAATCCATTTAATCATGTTTCCTCTGACATGGAACTTAGAGTTTACCATCAAACTCTCGCCTCTGAGCTCTTATTTCTCCACATTACATGGTGTTTTTTGGGCCCTGCCTTGGAGTTAGAGACCTTGGCTGACAGATATAGTTTTAAACAACAACTTTGTCCACACTGGTAATCTCAACCACTTTTAGAACTTTAATGACTGAAGAGTCTATAATCTGACACAGGTATTGGTTGTAGATATCATTTCTCCAAAATGTATCCTTGATGTTTGGACCACATCTTTATTTTTTTATTTTTTGTATTAGAAAAGATTTCCTCTGTTTATTCAAGTAACTGGGATTAACCAAATGTAGTAGCAATTTTTTCCCTTATAGATGTTTATAGATATGTTGTTAATAATTTTTAAACACTTTATAACTAATTTATACGTTCTTGCATTCAGCATATTTTATGCATATTACATGTAAAAAAAAAATAATAATAATGTTTTGCTAATGCTAATAGTGCTTCTAAGGTAGTAATTCAGTCTGAATATAAGCAATGCTAAATGAAATATAAAGTTAAACAGAGGCTCCATTTTGGCAAGAAACTGGTAAGTTTTGTTTATTGCTTAACCTTGATTAATGTTTAATAAACTGCCATGAATGGTTTATAAAGCATTACAGATTAATTGATGGCATATTTGCAAACTATTTCTTAGTCATCTATAAGAGGAGCCTTATTGTAAAGTTGTACCTTACACGCTTGCTGCTTGCCTGCTTCAATTTACAATCCAGGCATCCAGGATTTCTATACAATCAAGCAATCAAATGTAATCAGCCTTAAAGAAAGCTGCACATCATGCACATCAAAGAGCAGCTTAGAATTTTTTTAATGACCTCTCTGTCTAAAATAAGGTTACAAAACCAATGGTTGTTACAAAGCAAAGGCTTTTAGACCCCATGAAATACCATTGATAGCTATTATTGACAAACTGAAGAGAAAATGCAAAAAAAAATTAAACAGCACATTAGAGTGCATTTGCAGGGTTAGGAGGATGTGGATGCAACAAATGGCTGTCATGGTCTTGTTTCTATTGTGCTTTACTTTGCTCCATGTTTCCTAGTTTTATTGGTTTAATTCCTTTTTTGTTGTAATTTCTAGATTTATGTTAGTTCTCATGTTTTTCTGTTGTCCTCTGTTGCCCTCTTGTGTATGTGTGTGGTGTGTGTGTCTGTGTGTGTGTGTTCCTTTCCCCTTGGCTCCCTCGTTGTCTCCTCTCACACTTGCTCCTTGTCAGCTCGTTAGCCGTTCCTTTGTCTCTGTCGCTATATATGCTCTCCCTCTGCTCTCACTCTTTGTTGGTTCCTTGTCCTTGCTGTCCTCCCATGCTGTTGTCCCCCTACCTCGTCTCTCCCTGGCTCCTCATGTTTGGTTTCCCCAGATGTCTCCTTAGTTCTGGTTTGCTTTTCATTATTAGTTGGATCTTTGGATTCCTGCCTTTGAAAAACCATGAGCTTTAATTTCACTATAAAATTCTGAAGGGGAATGTTTGTCACAGTTATTCTATGATTTGGTAATGGTGAGCACTGGGGCGAAAGCCAGGTTGGCATCTATAGTTTTCTTATCTTTAGGCATTTAATCATAATTTCAAAAGCAACACTTTTATTTTCTATTTACTCAGATAACTTTTATCTGACAATAGATTTTGTAACTTCAACTAACATTCAAATATGGTGAAAAAGCAAACAAAAGCATAATGTTAGACATTTGTTGACGAGCAGTTTTTCACAGGTCTGCTTTTCATTTTTCAGGTAACTTAATGTGCATTTGTTATTTTCAAATGACATTGTGTATATCTGACTGAAAGGAAAATTAGGAGCTATTGCACTTCTCGTAATTGCCTATTGTCCTTGTCTAGTTGTCCCTTAAACAAAGTGTGAATATTCTATTTAAATATTACCAACTTTTGAAAGTAACTTTGATGGAGGGGCATGTTGGTGGCTTAAAGATAATCACATCAAGAGCACAGAGCCTGACCTGTTTTTGCATTAGTAAGTTTCTGTTCAATGAAAGGCACTCAATTGGTAATTGTTGTCTTGCTTTCAGTGGGAATGTGAATAGCACTTCATTGATCGAGAGCAAAATGTTTTTAATGTTGTAGATGAGAATTCTGGATTGCCAGCTAATGGGAAGGTGGAGGCTCCCTGCAATCTGTTTTCAAGTCAAGTTCCAAATTGAAAATCTTTACAGACATAATTAAGGCTTATCTGAAAGGAATGTCAAACCTCTAGCTTTTTCTTTCTCTCACCTTGCCATTGTTATTGCTTAAAGCAACAATCACTATCATAACTGTCATTGCTTTGTGTAATTAATGTGTTATTCATCTTTATTTAATCTAGCTTAATGTCTATAACAGTGATGTTATGAGGTCCATTTACAATATGCAAAGGCATTTATTTTGGTCTCATCCCCACTGAGAGCTTCTCTTTGGTTAGGATGCAGGGTTCAGTGGATTTAGCATGTTGGTCAAGGGTATATGAGCAAATGGAGCTGCACTGGGGATGAAACCAAGGCCTTTGCACAAGGGGAATGTCCTGGTTTTTTTTATAAGCATTCAGTGGTGCAAGGCCTTAAATGTATTATCTTTTTTTTTTTTAAGATGGTACAGTTTTCAGGGTACCATTCATTAATCACCATAATCTATTGTCTAAACCTTGGTTATTGTCTCAATGCTTGTTTTTTGTTATATCCCTTAGGTATACCAGCATATACAAAGAAAAAGAAGTAAAACTTATAAAAATGAAAATGTATACAGTTCACTGAAAGTATGCATGGCTAATCTTTGACTAAAACACTTAGATTGATCTTACATGATTGATGCGCAATAATGCATAAACTGAGAGAAAAGAGAACGCAGTAAACAGATTGAAGCTGTGTTCCAACTGTGTCTGCACAATGACTAGAAAAGAGGCACCTTCCCAGAGTTTGCTGTAGTTTATTGAATCTTTAGCACATAATCAAACAGCATTATATACACTCCACATTTGGTATGAATAAAATCTTTCATCCAGTAATCTGTTTTTTCCCCCCTCTGAGCTGTGAGGCTACTGAAGTGTCTGTGTACTGAAGTTTTTATAGACTTCTTTGTTAACATGGATCTATCAACTTTATTACAATGTGTGTTACTTTGACACACGTCAAAAAGACTATAACTAAAGACTCTTGAAAAAATATTGTTAAAGCTTTACCCTCACCTCCAATATCTCTGTATGCTTGCTTATGATAAATGAACACTTAACAGTGTCAGCTGCAATAATTGCTGATGGAGTTTTTTCTCCTTAGTACAGTATCTTAAAAGCTGTGGAGGATAGTAGGTCTCGTGTACTTGTGAATGTTACCGAGTTAGGACCGTTTTTGGTCTATTTACTAACTTTCTGAGGACCAACAGGTTCAGGACCTGAAAAAGAAAGATTATTAGTTGTTTTACATAAAAAGTTGATTTAACCCTTGCAGGGTCAGACTATTCCTGTGACCTTTTGTTTAGAACATAATCGGGGAATTATATTATTTGTCTACTTTTCATGTCAAACAATTTTTGCCTTGGGTTTAACCATATAGACATTGTACTGATATCTAAAGGAAGGAAATTGTTCCTTTAAAGTTTTCCTTCTCATTTTGTGGTATTCTATGTAATAAAAGAAATATAAAAAAAAAAGTCAAAATCAAAGAAAAAGACATTTATTTGAAAAACTCACTAATTTATGCAAACCATAAGTATTCAAAGTATTCAAATACCTTGGGCATTTTTCCGTTATCTCACATGAAAAACACAAACCACAGACAAATGTATTTTGGAAATATTTTATTGGGGAAAAAAATGATATTTTATATATAAAATCCCATTAAAATTGTTTTTAAATTCATATTTAATCATTTTTTGAAGGGAAAAAAAGGAGCTACCCCTTTTTGTTCTCTTGCTAGGGCATGCATGAGAATGTGTTGTGTATAATCACCCTGAGATCAAAGAAGTTTAAAGCATTTCCTTAAACTCAGCCAATTATTAAGAGTGCACAAAGTCCTATTTACATTTTATTAAATCATTACAATTGATTTGTGTTATTTTCTTTCAACTTTGAAATTATTCACAACTTTTTTTCTAATGTATAAAATCCATTTAAAATATTTATAACATAATTTTTTGCAAGAAACTGCAATGTTAGTATGCATAACTATGGTGTGAAAGGCTACCACAGCCATTCCAACCTGTGCTTGTATTTGTGCTTCCAGTACACGTGAAAGCAGGAACCTGTGAGGTAATTGCTGCACACCGATGCTGCAACAAGAACAAGATCGAAGAAAGATCCCAGACTGTCAAATGCTCCTGCTTCCCTGGACAGGTGGCGGGAACAACAAGAGCAGCTCCATCTTGTGTAGACGGTATGCCAGACTTCTCATTACAAATCTAGTGATGATTCCAGAATGGCATGAGATTACAAATGTGTGACATAGTGCAAAGCTGTCTTACCTGTCAGTAAGGTTCAGTCAAGCATTTTGGTGATAATTTGTGCATGTGAAGTCTACAGCATAGAAGACAAAGTGTCCTTTGTTTGCTCTGTATGTTGATTGAGACTTCAGTTTTCTAAATGAAATCCCCTAGCAGTTCATTCACTAACCCTGTTGTCTGGTGCTGAGGCTGGAACAGACACATCCATCAGAGCAGAAGGATGGCCAGGTCATTTAATATCATGTCAGCAGTGTCCTCAGTTACAGGTGAATCGATCCCCATCTTCTCCTTTTAGTGTAACTGCTCTGACCGGGCTTGATTTTTGACAGTTTTCTTCTCACTTTAGAAATGTCATGGGAAAGTGTTTTCCCCCTGTAGGCTTCTTCAAAGCAGCATAAGACCTTGACTGCATGTTTTCTCCCTCAACAGTGCACAAAGTCACTCTTCGCACACCTGCTCACAACACTCACAATCCTGACATTCACACGTGTCTGTAATTCAGACATGAAAACACACTTGGGCAGGACTGACAGATCTCCATGGATGCCTGAAACCAAGATGTTCTATTTAATCCTTGAAATATACAGAGGTCAAATCAGCTTGTTGTTGCTCTACAGAGACTAGAACTGTGCTTTACTTCCATAGAAAATAAAACATAGGTACAATTAGTTTTAGTATAAAGGGTTTGTCTTTTTTGCATCTTTTGTTTTCATCACAGCATCAATAGTTGCACAGAAGTGGTGGTGTCAGATGCATCCCTGCATGGATGGAGAAGAGTGTAAAGTGCTACCAGATCTCAAAGGATGGAGCTGCAGTACAGGAAACAAAGTAAAGACAACAAAGGTGGGATTATTTTTTTACTCTGTTCATATTTAGTTAAATTATTTTTACGCTTTAGATGCCTTGCACAAACTACAATGACATCCAGCGTTCTCTAAGGGTTTAGGAAGTAAAAATATCCCCAACATATAATGGCCAAAGATAAAGCCACTAATAAACACTAAAAGACAATGTATTGTTTTGTTTTTATTAACCTCTGATCAATGCAGTGGAGAGTGAGGGGAGACTGTGAGGTGTGGGTTGATCCTACTTGATACTATTGGCTTACAACTCAAGAAACATGGGAATTAACTTAATCTGTCTGTTTAGCTATGGTTATAGTAGATGTCTAAATGTATTGCATTTACTGGTTTATTATATTTTATTAAAGATAATGATTTGAGTCCAGGGGAGAAAAAGACTGGGAGGCCTACTGCACTCCCAGAGAGCCAGCTCCGCCATTTAGTCCAATAGGCACCCCCGTTCCCTGAGAGCCCACACGGTGAGTGGGGGGCCCGCCAGTTGCACCACCATAGCCCGGGGGACAAGGACAGGCGGCAAGGCCTGCGAGCCAACCGTTCGCCAGGGCCAACACCACCACCCCCCAACCCGTCCATCAAACCTCCTGGCTGTACCAAGAAAAAAAAAAAGAGAGATTGATTTGTTTGAAGAGCGAACATTTAGTTATTAGCATTTCTAAAGCAAGAGAAAAACCAAAAAGCTTGGTTTATGCTTGAGGCGTCCACTAGGTCCTCACGGCCAAATTACGTCATTTTGGGCTTCTACTCCCCTCCGTGCAGAAATTCTTTCCGCAAAGAGCCCATAGAAAAATCTGTTATTATGAGCGAGCAGCAGCTCCTGATGGTGAGGGTTTGCAAATGTAAACATCTAGAGCAGAGGTCACGAATAAGCGGACCAGTGTCTGGATCTGGACGCACCTGCTGGCTAATCAGGACCCGACCTGATTTAAAACATTTATGAATTAATGCATGTGGTCCGACGACAGTTTCTAACGTGACTTGCACTGCTTCTCCTGTCTATGTGGTAAACCCACCCAGTGCTGCACATGATACAAATTATGCAATGAGCTGTCAGTCTTGGTTGCGGCTGCGAGCTACTTTTAAACACAACAGGCAATGCTGTGGCAAGCCGGGCGATAGGAAAGATGGAGAAGATGATGAGAAAAAGAGATCAGAGAAAGTGTGGACTGCTGGAAGAAGCGCGGTGAACTGGTGAAAGAATGGTGAAATGGCGTGCTCAAAGATGACCCTGCACATTTTCAGTATGTTTGGCTTAATCTGCTGCTGTGAAGCAGGTTGAGCCCGATGAACATAATCAAAATAAATATCGATCCAGGCTCAAGGATGAGCACCTTGATATGTGCTTGAGGCTTTGTCTCCATTCAAACTCAGGTTTAAAGCCTTGCATGGCAGCCTAAAGCCCACTTCTCCCATTAAGCCATCAAAAAGAAAGAGAAAACCCCTCCCAGTAATTTCAGGTGTTTTATAAAAAAAGTGAATCAGGAAATTGTCTATATACCAAACTGAAAGAATATTGTTCTCTACTTCAAATAAAATGGAAAAAAATTATATTTTTTTTATTTAAAAACTCAATATATAACATGGATGCATAAACACCTGCATTTTATGTCAGTATTGAATACTGTTTAAAGTAATGGATTGTAATTAAAAATCTCTCCGGACCTTTACTGGTTGTTGATTTCCTTTATTCGGACCCAGCTGACTTTTAATTGATCACCCCAGATCTAGAGACATCTCATCATTTCTGAAACCCATAAATATCTGGATTAGCAACAGATGGTAGAAAAACTTGAGGAAAGAAATGACAGCAGCTCTTGAACGGCATGAACAGGCTATGATAAAGACTATGATAAACTATGATAAAGACATTTTCCACGGTAATATCCATGCTTCAAGCAAAATGAGCCTTTAACAGTTAAACTAGGAAAAACAGCTCACTGCTATTGTTGATACAGTAGATGCACACCCCTCCCAATGCATACAGGAGTTTACAAATTCTAACATGGAGTCATTTCATGAAAATCAATCTCACCTTTAAGGTTTGAGGAAATAAAATTCTGTCTTTCAACTGGCTATGACTCTGACTGACTTTTTAGAGAAGGAAAACGAGGCACTCAGGGAGAAAACAAAACAAAATTTTACATGACACATGTTTGTTGAGTGGGATGTGTTGGCAGAGTGCAGCAGGACTAAAGCTAAACCGCTTCTCTAAATTAATAGAGGCTGTCAGGATGTATGTTCAGGTTTTTTTTTGGATGAACTGGACCAAAAGTAGATGGTAGGTGAGGGGGTGGGAGTGGTTGGGGGGGAAACATAGGACCCTTCCTCATCCATCATCGTCCACTGTTTGACTCGCCAAACGGCTGTAGTTGAGCCGCCTCATCCATTATTCATTGGTACAGGAGGCCTGGATGAAGCAGAGCTTTTTATTTTAGCCAGGTTAATAATTCATGCCCTCTGTTACAGCCATGGGAAAGCAGAAACAGAGGCACAGATGAGCAGGGGTCCAGGTGGCTAGTAGAACCCTTCAGAACCTCGACTCTTTTATTGATTAGGGAGTCAGCGGGGGTCGCTCCATGCTCTTGGCCTTACTGCCTCCCACAGAGAGTCAGCAAGGGAAAGCTTGTGTTTGCCAGAGGGATGTACTTAAACTTCCTGTACACTTAACATCCTTCTGGGGAATGAACAGAAGGGCTGCCTGAAAACGGAGCTCACAGTCTCCAGTGTAATGCTGATGCCGTGCCTGTTTCTATGGAATCTTTCACTGAGATATAAATTCCAACCAATGAAAAGAGATAGATAGTTGAAGCCTTGAAAAAAAAAATCATATTCAGATACAGGAGCAAAAGATGTTATTCTTCACCATTTAAATTTGGTAGAGAAAGGAGTTTAAAACAATTAGAACAAATGCTAAATGATGAAATTTCAAATAAAAACTTATCAGAGCCTCTGAAAGTTTAAAGCAGTAGTTGCAGGAAGAATAAAACCCTGGCTGGATTCTGCAGAGATTTTCTTAATTGCATTTGGTTGTCTTGCTTGTGACATACTACTGTTAAATGCAGCATCTGAAGTATCTGGTGACCTATCTGTTGGAATAATATCAGCAAATCCACAGTCCTGTTTCCAGTTTTCTATTGCAAAGAAAAGCTCTACTGTAAATTTTCCTTCATTATACTTAAAAATCTGGAGTCAGTTTCTGCAGAGCTTGATATATTAAGCTCCTTTCTGGTATTTTGGAAACCCTCCAAGCCCACAGGATATGGGCACCAGCTGCAACAATAGGCAGGTACAGACTATAGATTGATAAATGCACAAACGGATGGTTTGAACTCTAGCACTTCTATTACTAGCTTTGCCTTTATTTTGCATGCAAAAACAGAAGTTTTCCTTATTAACCATGCAAAAGCAGAAGATTTGGGTACAGTGAACACTTATGCCCTTTGAAATTTAAGCTTCAGTTAAGAGGCACTTTAAAAATTACCTTAAATTGATTATTCAAAATGATTTGTTAGGTGATTATGTTCAAAACCTTTAATCAGAATGAACTACATATTCCCTTCTCTTATATAAAAGAGCTATTAGTGGCTGTCTGTCAGCCAGGTTAAAATTACGCCAGCTTTTATCCAAAGCCAGAGATAGTTCTATTAAAAACTTAAGTAAAGTTCTCCAAAATTACATACGCTGCAACCACAACCCTACATACATTAAATTCACTCACTCCTTTTGTTATCAAAGCCACATAAAATAACTGCTGGTTGAATATCAAGATACCTTTGAGAATAACAAATACAGCCACATAGTCTGTGCTGTACTTTAGTTTTTGGGCTTTAGTTTTATTTTAATCACACAAACATCTCCAAAGCCTCTAAAGATTCTGCTAAGTGCTTAAAAAAAATAAAAACAATGGGGGGTTTCAAAATAATACTTGGAGACACAGTATGAATTAGATTATTAAAAAATAGGCTCTCTTTACTGTTTTCTTTTTAGCATTTTTGTTTGCAGATAAATTGGAGCTCATTAATGTGGTTCAAAATATAGATTTTTCACATGAAAAGAAACTCGTCACTTTCAACATTTTCTTTATCTAGTAATGAAAATCAGTCCTTCCAGGTGTTTCTGAGTGGTGTTCAAAATGAATAAAAGCCAAACTGTTCTTTTGTTTCCTCTGATGAAGTCCTTCCAATAAATCAGACATTTTAACACCCTGTAGCTCCTGCCCGATAAACTGTTTGTTCCTTCCCTCTGTACATGTTCTAGGAGCAGCTAGTTTTATAGTCCTGCTGCTGGTAATGTGAAGAATTATAACCCCAGCAGCTCCTACATTTCACTTCCTATCAATCAGGGGACAGAGGGCAAAAGAGCCACACATACCTCCTACATGACAGGTGTTATGGAGCTTGTGGAGAATGTGTTAATGTTATTGATGGATAGATGTATGGAGGAAATGTTTTTCCAATACACTATGAAAACATGCCCTGTACCTGCTAAACAACAACAAATATGGAACATCTAACAGTCTCCAAAGACAGACTAAATATAGCCTCTTATCAACAAACAGCGCTAAATCTAAATAGAGTTAGAATGTTTTCTAAAGAGACAAAAATCTGACAGATCTGATCTGAAAGGCAATGGAAGACAAATGTTTACTACAAATAATTAAGGCAGCATTTAACATGACTAAGTAATAGTGTACGTTGTTATTTCGATTGCTCTGAAATAATGGTTAAGGCAGCTGCAATTTCATGTTTTGAAGTATTCAACTTTTACATTTAGGTAATTGCATTAAATTAATGGAAAATAAAACTATGCTAAACCAACTGACAAATGCTGTAGGTCAAACACACATAAATAATTTAGGTATAATTTGATACAATGGAAGACCAGCGGTTGTATAAATGATTCAATTTTCAAAGAGCTGGCAGGTCTGTAAGAAGCAGTAAAAGCCACAATTAAAACACTGAGTGCATGCAGTAACTGCAGTGGCCAGAGGTTCTAACTGTCAGTCAAACATTGGAACTGAGTTGTTAAAGCAACAATACAAGATCCGACCTCAGGAGCTGTGTATTGGAATCTATTAATACACTTAGCTTGGCACAAGAATCAATAGTCACTGTTGGATAACAGCATAATCATCTCTTTGTCCGGTCTTTGTTGGGTTATTATTTTCTTACATGCATATTTTCAGAATTCAAATTTCCAAATCTGAATTATGCAACTGTTTGACACTTCTTGCTTTATGACACCAGAATGTGTTCAGAATCAATTTACCTCCTCAAGTTCTTAATAAGTCGGATGATAAACTATACATTTGATTCTGGTGTATTGGAACAGGGATTTATCCAAAAGTGAGACATTGACTCTAGAGGACTAGATGAGACATTTTCTGTTTTCAATAGTCTATCATCCAGTTACTTGAGTACTTTTTGAAAAAAAAATGACTGAAATAACTTTCTGCAGGCTGTATGGTGCCACAGTTTGTAGCTTTTTAGCCTTGCTGCAAAAAGGTCTGGGTTCAGTTGCTGACTTAGAGTCTTTCTGCATGGAGTTTACATGGTCTCCCTATGCATAGGTGGGTTCTCTCCGCATACTCTGGCTTCCTCCCACAGCCCAAAAAACATGACACTCAGGCTAATGTCTGTGCTGCCCTACAGTAGACTGGTCACCTAATAGTATATCTCAACTTTTGCCCATAGACTGCTGTAGGCAATATATGAGTAATACCTTAATACAATATCACTTATCTTAATTGAGTAAAGTATATGGCTGCTCCATCCATTGTGGTTAACCTCACTGAATAAAGAACAAACCTGTTTTCATTTTAGAAACTCTAGCATGACATTTGGAGTCCAAACTAATATAAAGTAAGGAATAAATATTGTTATTGATTATTTATATAATGTACACTACATAATTTTTTTTGTGTTGTTTTTATTATAGCCTTTAAAATGACAGAATTTTGCACTTAACTTTACATTTTGTCTGAATTAATTACATTATTATAAATATCAGATGAGTTAGTGCTTAAGTAGTCTTCTTACTAAATGGGTTTTTATTCTTGCCTAAGGGAAATTATGATGAAGTAGGGTTACTCTTCATTGAGTAAAATTTTGGGGGAATTCTACCCACTTCTGCTATTCTCTGCTCGTGATATTGGTACCTCTAGATTGACCAGCTCCTGTTATGTCACTCTAGCTATGTACAAAATTTTGTCCATGTCAAAGTACCTACTGTAGGTAATTGTCTTTGTTTTTGTAATGTATACCCGAAAATGGTTTTATACCAAATTTGGACTTACTTTCCACCATGATATCTTTAGTGTGTGTAGTGAGCAGTATCCCCCAATAAGACACACATGAATCCCTCACTGTTAACTTCCTAGATGGGTTTGATTTGATGCATTTCTGTTATACATGTGAGAAATTATTTTTGAAATGCTCATAAAGTAAATATTTCATCTTTGTTGTGTTAGGGTAAAGTAGCCATGTTTGATAATGACAGACCTATGATAAAGAATGTTCAGATAAAGATTTAACCAAACCGAGGTACAAGAATTTCCATGAAACAGATTTCTGCCTATTTTTTACACAGTTTCCATTACCTGCTGCTGCAACTGCAGTGAGATAAAATCATTTCCATATCCTCTCTCACACCATTATGCCTGAGGATTGTCGCATGGAAGTGAAAATTAAATTGTGGCTCCCCAAACAGTGAGCGCAGTGTCATTGGCGGCACCTGTAAACAGCATAAAATTATTCTTGTGTAGAAATTTGGATTGTTGTACTCAGAGTACTGATTGCTTGTGGCAATGGCATACAGATTTGACTGGTGACACCCCAGCAACTGCTTAATGAACAGCCATAATGTCCAAACACTCTCATAGGAACATCTTTTCTACCTGCTGGTGTGTGTTGATTTATTGTGTTCTAAAGCTTCTATTTACAAAGGGCAACCCATAAGAAACAACTCAGCTGTGATCTGCTTATTTTTATAGCCTTTTGTGAAATAAAACATGTAAACAATCCTTTACTTATTTGAGCATTGTAGATTATTATTTATGAAAACTCCAGAGACCAGTTCTGCAGTATACCATATTTATGCGGTGCATACTATTTCCTGTTTTTTAAAAGTCATTCACTATGAAGCAGATTGTATTAGAACTGACTTGTCTCTGCCATGTAGATTTTGCTATCTCACAGATGTTTGAATTATGAACATGCCAGCTGGGAATATGCATGCCTTGAACTTGCCACACATTTACCAGAGAGACATATGCTGATGGTAGCAGAGCATTAGATCAAGAGCTTGTTCTAATAGCAAACATGCAACATTAAGGTTTGATGACCATATTGGTTTAACAGTGTCTACATACACAAGATAATCCAGTAGTTTAAAATCAGACTTTGGTCGGGGTGTAGGTAACAAACACTGGCGTGCACAGACATTTTTGGGGGCAGGTGCCCCCACTCAACAAACATGTGTCATGTAAAATTTTGTTTTGCTTTCTCCTTGAGTGCCTTGTTTTCCTTCTCTAAAAAGTCAGTCAGAGTCATAGCCAGTTGAAAGAGAGAATTTTATTTCCTCAAACCTTAGAGGCAAAAGGGCACCTTACACACTGCATGGAACCGTCAACAGCCAAACACTGTCTGATGCTGACGTTTACCAATCTTCCACAGTCCATATGTAGCAATGCTACATATTACATTTAAAGTAAGAAAAGACCGTACTCTATTATTTTATATCAAGTACATAATTTGTGATGTTATTTTAAGGTTAAAAGCTTCCACTGACAGACCATCTTATTTTCCTGCACAGATAAGGAACAAATATTTTATTATTATATTTTGCAGTCCAAGATGTCAGTCAATAAACACAGAAAATGAAACTGCAACTTCATCTACATGCCCCACTTGAACGGAATAGAACCAAATTATGGTTATTTTTACAAATTGTGATCATTTGGCCTTGCTTTTGAATGAAACGTTAAACAGACGAAAGGTAATTTGTTGTACTTTACTGTAGTTGTCATAAAAAACAACATGAGTCAAATACAGTAGCCATTTAAAATCAGCCCACTTTCCTTGATGGGCCCTTGGCTGGTCCCCTACAATTCCTTTTTAAACATCAATACTAATATAGTACTAAATAGTACTAAAATGTTCTTTCTGTCATGATTTGTGGACATTAAGATCTAAAGAGAAGCATAATCTCCTGGTCAAATCTCGTAATTCGGTGAAAGGGTGGAGTCAGAGTAAAAAAAAATATGCAAGAGGTGGTCACTCCAGTGGGTGGAAGTCGGAAGGGATTTTGCTGGGAGTTGCAGGGAAATGGGCTGCCATTCGGCTGGCGTTTGAATGGGAAGGGCCATTTTGAATGGCTGCTACTGTACTGTAGCTGTCATCAGGGAGTACTTTATGGTATATCAATAATTACATCTATGAGATGCTTTAATTATTTATTTATTTAATCAAATAGTTGCATTTTAAACATTTTATTGTGGCCAGATAGATGCCATTGAAGATGTTATACTATGAATTAACTGGTTGCTGAAGGAGGTTCAGTAAACACGTTTGTTTACTGCAAAAATAGAAGAAGAAAACAAAAATGTTTTCTTCTTCTTTATTAAAAAGCACCATAGCGATTATATTATATTTCCCCTTATGTAAAACAGTTGTCTTTAAAAAAGATTATACAAAGCAAAACATTTTAAACCAAATAATATTTTTGTCTTTTGATGACCAGGGTCATATATATTTTAGAAATAAACCCTGTCAGCCAACCTAAAAACTTTATTTCAGTTTAACTGTCTTTCCAACACCATTTTCCAGGTAGAGGTCATCTTAATTCATGAGATATTTTATAAAAATGAATAAATAACCAGTAGATCTGACCTGGGTGGCCAACAATAGCAATTTTCTTTCTTGCCTGTCTCGGATTTGATAAGAATGGCTCATAATTTAGCCTATGGCATTTTTTTTTTTTTTGGTCTGGATATCACCAAACAAACTACCGAAAATTAGCTAAAAGTATGTAAAGCTTTTTTTTTTTACATAAGTTTATTTGATCATGATTTCAGTTGGTAAGTAAGTTGATCTGCCATTGGAAAAGGACTTTTGTATTTAAAATAAGAAAAGAAAAATCCCTAATACCTTGTTAAAACCTGGCAATTAGCTTACTGATGAAAATTAGGCAAACAGCTATATTATTGGACACCTCCAATAAGTTAAAAAGAAAAGTCAATTGTAGATTTAGAAATATACATTGAATGATGACTTTTTTTCTAAAACAATTTAACATCCAACCCAAACAGATCTCCTAAAACATTATGCTCTATTTTTTTATATTAATGGTTAAAAAAACATATGTTTGCATTGTAACACATTTTGCCAGATTTGTTTTGTTTTTATGAAAACACCTGAGCAAAATGCAAAGAAAGGTCTTAGAACACAAAACCTCAATCCTGCGTTCGGAGTTTACTATTCAGCTTTTAATCAAGTTGCTGAACTGCTGTTAAAAGAAGAAAATGGCTTTTGTGTATGTGTCTTATATCACACCCTGACATATGATTTTCTCTCTCTTTGTTTCCAGGTTACCCGATAGTTGTATTTTTCCAGAACAAAGATATATGGACCCAAGATGTGTCTTTTATCATCCCTGAAGGACATTTTGGATCCCAAGGAATTAATGGACTGGCAGAAACCAGGGACCAATACGGACATTAGTCTCAGACATTCCAGTGAATGAAAAGATGGAATGTATGAGGAAACTCACATGAGACTACAGTCCCTAACAGATTCTTGACTTTTTGTCTAGCATCAACAGTAGCTTATTCTCTACTCTGCTGCCCACCAAATCTCTCTTTGTAATATACTTCTAATCCAATGGATTTCAAAACCCAACAATGATGTTATCTATTTATTGACTTTAAAAACTGGATAAGATAGTGAAAAAAATCACCCTCAAAACATGTGATGTGAAACTTTTGTGTCATGTTCTTGCTACAAGAAGCCCTGGGACTTTGGTGCATATCTCTGTGGAGGCTCTTGTGAGGTCATACGCATTTTAATTCCTTTTAGCCTTATGGAGGAGATGTCTCTTCTGTTTCCTTTTGTTCATTTGAAAAAGAAAAGCCTGATATTTCTTCTTTTAAACTTTATTAGGATGATTAGTCCACTTTGAAAAGACACGTGCAATAAAAACACCCAGAAATAAAAAAAGTAATTAAAGGTCAACGTAGCTGTGTTCTGCAAAATGCTTAAATGGTATCTGTTATTTCAAAGCCTGGTGACTGCTATTCATTACAAATGTCAACATTATCTCAATAAATCTAAGTCAATGAATATTGCTTTTTTTTTTTTTAGAATAATTGCAGTCTGTGTTGTATTGTTGGATTGCAGGAGCTCAGCATGTTAAGCAAATGTTCAGGCAAATAAAACAGGGGGGAGGATCACTGGAAGATAATCAGGTTTGATCTCATGGTGGAACAGAAATGTGAAAATCAGCAAATACAGAAATAGGATGTGGACAAAGTAGAAAAGGGAAAATGCATCCTACCAGTTTTCCTCACATAAGCAGACTTTACAAGAATAGATTTCTCAAATCTATTCCATGGATACATTCATGTAGTAATGGGAAAAAGTGCATCCCCAATCTTTTGTTCCTGTTTTGTTTTTTAAACTTGAATGTTAAATATTCTTTGAATTTAAAGATCACACGAAAGTAATCTTAGTAAATTCAGATTTGAATTATGAAACTTGTATATTAAGCAACAAAAACTATCCCTTAGCAGAGTAGTTTGTTGCTATAATGGGAAAGTCTTAATGATCATCTATATATTTATTGCTAAAATTGTGCTAGATCTTTTAATTCTTTTTGGTAAGCAGTTATTCTTGCCTTGTTAGTGGATATTATGCACAGTCTCATAATAAGGGTCAATTCTTAAAGGTATAGTGGAGGATCTTTATGAATAAAAAAAAAAAACTGCGCTCCCTTTACCCACTCCTGAGAGAAAACGCCTATTAAATGCATTCGAGAGTGTGCACAAGCCCATTTCGCCTTGTGCACGCTCTGTTTAAAAGTTGCTGTTTGCATCACTCATAAAAACTTGCTTTCCAAAAGAAGATGTGCAATTTTTCCACGTTAGACTCACAAACAGGTGTTATGCCAAGAAATACCAGTCTGCTGAGAATTACCTCTCCTTTCGCACAATGATGAGAAAACTGATAGAAATATGAATGAAAAGAGAACTTTAAAATATATTCTTAATATTCTTATATTTCTTATGCATGGATGCCCTAAAATTATGAGTTTTTGTTGGATGGATAAATGCAGAGAAATTCCTGCCCCTGACCCAAAAGCGTGAATTGCCCTAAAGTCTCGCGTATTGAGAAAATGAATTGACATATGAACAAAAAGGGAACTTTTAAACATATTCCTAATGTTTTGTCAGAAATGATATAGAATTGTGTTGATGCTATCTACTGAGTAGAGTATATATTCATAGGACACTTACTGTAGCACATTGACTAAAAATTGTCTCCATACAAGTAAAATCTGACTTTATCTGTCCACCAAAACCCAGATTTTAGGGTTTCAGGATCCATACATAAGAAATATGAAAACTTTAAGAATATGTTTAAAAAACCATTTTTGTTGATATTAAAATCCCTTTTTCACATCAGTATGCGAGAGGGGAGGTAAATCTCGGCAGCCACGTATTTCTCGGCATAGGGTTTGGTGAAAATGGGGATGAGCCTTATGTAAACATATCAACTGAATGACTGACAATTAAGAACACCACTTATTTTGATGACCTACCTAGAAAAAGAACATCCTCCACTATACCTTTAAAGTAATCTTTGGTGAACTCCTTGTTGGTAGCCTTATTAGGTCATTGGGATTGGACAACCTCTTCAGCAAAGATCCAGCTGTTTTCTGAAATTGTGGATTAAAAAATTCACTGTTTTTTTTTTTTTTTTTAAAGGCTCAGAAAATCATTTGTTAACCAAAGACTCATAGATCTCAATGGCTGTCATTTCATGCTGTGCTTGAATCGATTTACTGTAGATCAGTAAATGTTTTGTTGCAGTACCAAGGCTAGTACCAAGGCAGTGACTAAAGAAAGTAAACTCAGCTTATCCAAAATGGTGGTTATTCACATTAAATTTATTATGAAATTTATTATTTCATAAAATTAGATAAATTCTTATTCTATTATTTTTCACATTTATGTAGTATTTTATTATTTTTCTAATTGAGTCAGTTTGCTTTGGTTGCTTTCTACATATTGATTGAAATGGCATTTTGAAAACTGCCTTTTGTTATCCCAGTAATCCTATTTGTTTTATGTTTAAGTTTTTGTTTTAATTGTTTATATATATATATATATATATATATATATATATATATATATATATATATATACAAATAAGCTACCAATCACCTTATCCCAATTTTCAGCTGTGTTCGTCGTTCTGAATAATGTCCTTTAATGTAGTAGCACAATGTGGCATTAAACAAAGTAAAACCCTCTGATGGAGGTAGGCTGTGCTGTGTGACAGGAGGGTGGGAGATAATGCATGAATGGAACAGGATTATTAAGTCCTGGTGGCCTTGCCAACCCGCTGCATCAGTGGGATCCAAGGGCAAATCAAATGCCTGTCCATTCTTACGCATATAATGTGGCTACCATCATTATCAATATCAACATGAGGCTCCATTTCCTTCTCTGTGGAAACCAAGCTTGTTGGGAGCAAGGAAACGGTTGGGGAATTATTTATATTTCAGCAGCATGTCACAACCACCTTAGAGACAGGAAGTCACACTTTGAAAGGGGCAAGCCCTCTTGCTGATAAGAAAATACATGCAAATTTATACTTAAGCTGCCTTAGCAAGATAGAGGCCATCCAACCATCCATTTATAAATAGAAAATTCTGATAAATACGCTCTGATAAAGACAAGTGAAGGAACGGTGCTTCTTTTTATCACACTGGTGTCTTAACTTAAAAAAAAAAAAACACTTTATGGTAAATTTTATAATTTGTAACTCAATTTTCCCTGTAATTGAAACAGCACATTCTCTATAATGTTTCTTATTCTAAACATAATTAATTAAGCTAAACGTAAAAGGCTTACCCCCAAAGATCCGAGCCATGGGACTGATGCTGACTGAGAGAAATGAGGGGAGTTGCTATGGTTAGCAATCCAGGTTGCGTCTTGTTTGGTTAGAAATCATTAAATTACAGTAATGACTAATATCTCATTCCTGCTTGCAATTCGCCGGAGACCACCATGGATTTAATAAAGAGCTGGCGATGAATTACAAACAGCAAATGGCTGAGGAAAGGCTACGTGATTATGCAGAGTAATTCAAAAGTGCATTAATAAAACAATACAGAAACATTGCTAAATCATTTGAGATAAAGGCTATTTGCATAATTCATTAAGATTAATCAGACCAGGCAATCTACCACAGTGCTCTGAGGAGCAGCAAGGGGAGACATGATTCCTTTCCCCTGAAAAAAAAAATCTCTATCTACAAACAATGATACAAATCTACCCTTGGATCAGAGAATTAACCTCTGTTCACTTTACAGCCCCTGCAGTGTTGAAACACAATCCTTCAGTCATCCGCTTTAATGTGGGCTAATATTCTATTAATAATGAAAGATCTTTTCATACAGGAGCTCCTCTGGGTTCTGTTGCTCTGCCATAAAAGACCTTCAAAAAAGATGAATGGATTTTGCATAAAGTTGGCTTCAAAATAAGAGAGGATCTGAGGTTTAGCATTATCTTTGTTCTTCTTTTAACTTGTGCTTGTCATTCTCAACAGTGGCTGAATTAGAGAGAGGTCACAGATCACAGAGTGCGTGTAAGTCAGAAGGTTACTGCTGTTGAAATTATATTCATTCATATTCAGTTTTGGAAAACAACTTCCATTATTCGTGTTTAAAAACTTCACCTTATTGTGACAATGACTATAAATTAATTTTTGCATTAGAAAGAACTGATGGACTGTACAGTATAATGACACAGATTTGTGGTAAATCTTTGAGGAAAAAGCCCAAATGAAACTTTAAGGATTTTACTCAAGGTTGTTTAAATCTTGAATTTATCCCACATTTATGTAAAAGATTTTCGTGATTTATATGATAGCTGCAGAAGCAGACACCAGGTTGATGTAGTCTTAAATATAATTTAATTGTTTTACATCAAAATCTCTAACATGCATTCACATTCCCCATAAAATGTAACATGTAACAGTATGCCCTCAAACACAGGTGCTTAACAAAGCTCATTTTTAAGCAATAAATATACAGTATATTTTTAAATGTGCTGGAAAAGCATTGAATTGCCTTTAAAAACGGTATCAATAATAATCACATATTACCAAGTTTACTAATATATATATTTGGATATGAACATAATGTAATAAAAAAAAAAAGTTAAAGGTGTATGTTACATGTCAATATAGACATTAAGCTGAGATAAATAAGACCAAACTCAATAAATCAGCTAATAAAAAATCGTTCCATTAAATCAACATGATTATTTTACCAAAGAGTCTTACACTATTGCTTTTGCTCTATCAATAAAGTCTAAACAAAAAGTTTGTTTATTCCAACCTAGAAGAAAATACAATTGCATTAATAGAACTGCTTACTAAATATGGCAGTGATGATCATGATGATTGGATTTAAATGTTACACATTTTGGGATCAGAAAGGTTTTTACTTTTGTAATGTGGATTTAAGAACTTAAACGACTTTTGACAAGCAAATAAGAAATTCTAATATGCTTCATCCTAGTATGAAAAAAAAAAGTCCTTTGCCAAGTCCATAGGCATATTGACATTAATGACAGGCCTAGTCTTATCTAAGTACAGTACTGTAAAGTACATGTTAAATTAAAAGGTTCATTCTGAAAATCTTTCTGCCAATACATTCAACCTATATGGATTAATATACTGGAAAATGAGCTAGAAATAAGTAAAATTTTCTTAAATTAAGTATATTTGCCCTTACTTTGATTAGATAAATGAGATACTTTGGCAATGGAATGAGTATTTTCACTCCTAAAATAAGACAATTAGATAATATGCACTTGAAATAAGACAATACAATTGTTTTTTTCTTATTTTAAGCGTAAATTGTAAATTCCATTGGCAAAATGTGACACTTTCCTCCTTAAATTCAAGAAAAAATGCACTTACTTTAAGAAAAAATGACTTATGTAGAATACATTTTTTTGCAGTGTGGATACAGCAGAATACATTTTACTTGGCCATTCCCTAAAAACAGCAGCTTTAATTTAATTAAATAAATAAAATCCATTTATTTT